TTAATTTTATCATAGCAAATGTTTTGCTAGGGCACTTATTTTAGATGGCCCTTAAAAGTGGGACATTTTTCTCAGTCTGCTGTCTAACATTAAATAAACAAAAGTTACATTCTGAGAATCTGATTAAGTAAATGAGCAGAAGAAGAATAAAGAGTAATTAGTTGTAAAACTATTTGTGCTACAAACAGTGTTTATAATTACAGCATGAAATGTGCCATAATGTGTTTATTAACACGAAAATGTCATTAGAAATACGTCAAGCAGCATAACATATCAAAAAAGGCATAATATTTCAAACCTACACTGAAATCACCATCACTCGCACTATTAAAAGGCAAAAGCCTTTTAATAAACACTATTGCTAAAGAAAATATTATATATAATGTGTGTGTGTATGTGTATATATATATATATATATATATATATATATATATATATATATATATATATATATACAGTATATATATACATATATATACATATATATACATATATACACATATATATATATATATATATACACATATATATATATATATATATATATATATATATATATATATATATATATATATATATATATATATATATATATATATATATATATATATATATATATATATATATATATATATATATATATATATATATATATATATATATATATATATATATATATATATATATATATATATATATATATACACACACACACACACAAACACAGTTGAAGTCAGAATTATTAGCCCCCCTTAGATTTTTTTTTTGTCTTTTTTTAAATATTTCCCAAATGATGTTTAACAGAGCAAGGAAATTTTCACAGTATGTTTGATAATATTTTTTCTTCTGGAGAAAGTCTTATTTGTTTTATTTTGGCTAGATTAAAAGCAGTTCTTCATTTTTTAAAAACCATTTTTGGGACAAAATTAGCCCGTTTAAGGTAATTTTTTTCGATAATCTACAGAACAAACCATAGATATACAATAACTTGCCTAATTACCCTAACCTGCCTAGTTAACCTAATTAACCTAGTTAAGCCTTTAAATGTCACTTTAAGCTGTATAGACGTGTCTTGATAAATATCTAGTCAAATATTATTTACTGTCATCATGGCAAAGATAAAATAAATCAGTTATTAGAAATGAGTTATTAAAACTATTATGTTTAGAAATGTGTTGACAAAATCTGCTCTCCGTGAAACAGAAACTTGAGGGAAAAAAACAAACAGGGGCGCTTATAATTCAGGGGGGCTAATAATTCTGACTTTAACTGTATGTGTGTATATATATATATATATATATATATAAAGAAGTTAGCCAAAGAAAATATTAGTTAAATAATTAATAAAGTTCAAACTTTTCTGAAGTTGAGTTTTTAAAATAAAATCAGTTGTTCAATGTATGTGTTTGCCTTTTGCAATTATGCAGAGAAAACCTCCCTCTATATAATTATATTTATATTAATGTATTGCTACTGGCCTCCAAATAGTTATCGGTTATTGGTCAAAAATGCCATATTGGTGGGGTGCTGATATACATACAGAATCCTGATTAAACCCTGTCTTTGAAACAATGCACTTATTTCATATAAGCTTAAAGGGTTAGTCCACTTCACCCAAACATGGATCACAGAATTGTAATTTTTGGGTGAACTAACCTTTTAATATGAGGTTATTGAAGTATTTTTAATAATACATTAATTAATAAAGTTGTGTTTTAAAGAGCTGCTGTATGATTCAAATGCTTTGTTGTGTGAGTTTTTAAGGTTGCATTGAACTAAATAAACATTTCATTCAAAAATGCATCTGAATTTGCACAATATATCATTTCAGCATTGAAATCCCAATGTGCGCATCTACAATAGTCACATCGAATAGTTGAGTAGGAGTTAAAAACACACATGATTGTGGAGTAATTGCAAAGTTTAACCATAAAGTTACCGAACAGCGTTTTATCATTAGCATGTATTTAAAGCCTGTCACTGGCATTTCAAGCCAGTTTAAAGCGTTCAGGTATTTCAAGAAACAAAAATATAGTATTTATGTGCAGTACATATGCAAATAAAAATATACAGTGTTATTTATTTTACATTTCATTATCCAGCTTGTGTGTCTGAATACTGTTAAGACTCCCAGAAAATCCCTAACGCATTTCTAACTTTGCTTTACTGTATTTATCATTGCTTGTCATTTGGTTTATTACATTTTATGCAGATGCGCTCCACTACAAAATCATCCTATTATCATCCAAAATTGTCATTTCAAATAAAGCTATTCATTTCAGCTGTTAAACTTTTACTCAATATCGCAATATGCAATGCAGAAAAATTAAATATTGTAATGTCAGGTTTTCCAATATTGCGCAGCCCTAATTTGGACTCGCCAAAACAAATGAATCATTTACCGGAAATGAAAAGTTTTAATTAAACTGAGAAAAAGAAATACAATTAAAATGTTGACAACATAAAATGAACAGTATAGACATTGTTGAAATCAAATAGTTGAAGTGTCCCAGGTTCACATCATAAAAACATGTAGGTTATTATTGTTATTGACATAACTGGACCCCTTGAGATTATCTTATCTGTGGATTTCACATTTGAATAAGTTATTACTCAAAATACATGGAAAATTTATAAAAATAAACCTGGCTAAAATACCCCCAAGATGCATTCAGCTACAGTACACAAGTGTCAAGATTGTGCGTATAAATGTAGTACTTTTATATTTAGACATTAATCAACTATTTTAAGTCCAATGATAAGGAATAGGGTTTGTTTTCTGCATTAATATGTCTTTTTTGGTGATGCAAGTCCAAAGAGCGTAAAACTCTAACCGTCCCAGATGAACATACTCCAGCAGATGACGTCACTTCCTCCAGACCTGCTGTCCAGCAATGTAGGTTTCCCTGACTGTCAGCATGTCGTCGAGTACTATAAAATCTGCAAAACAGCACGTATTACTAGAGCCATTTCATTATCAATACAATATATCGTGAATATCACAATAAATCCATCTATCTAGTGAATCCTTGAGGTTAGTGTATTATTAGATCTTGATAGCAGCCTGTCGTTTGAAGAACAGATTTCAAGCATCTGCATTTTTTCCTCTTAAAAATGTTGCCAAACTTTGACATTTGCTATCAATGTCTAATGTGGAAAAGCTTATGCTTTTATGATCACTCTGTTAGATTACTGTAATGCATTTGTACGCGGTTGCCCTATAGGCCTAATTAACAAACTTCAGCTGGTTCAAAATGCAGCTGCTAAAGTGCTTTCTAGAACAGAGAAGTATGATCATATTCAGTGGTGTAGTCCTAATAAAAAAGGTGGCGTACTATTACCCACTCAATCCAAAATCTAAAGTAGGCAAAGAATGACGAAAGTCTATGCTTCTTTGATTCATTAGCAATATATAGTAAAATTATCAAAACAATTTGGTTGTGCAAAATGTTTGAGCAAGATGCAAATGGTCTAAACCGATTCAATGATCTATGGTAAACTAAGCCAAAATGGCTCCCGCCAGATGCGGAGATTGGCTCAATGGATTAAAAAATGGTAAAACTCAACTGATAAACTTTAAAAGAGTTATATAATGTGCCTATTTAAAAAGAAATCAGAGTGTTCCTATAATAATAATAAAAATGTGAAAAACACATTGTTACCTGCATCTGCACCAAACTCCAGCGTTCCCTTCCTGTGGCTGATGCCCAGTAGCTGAGCCGGATGCAGAGATGCGGCCTCTAATGCAGCTTCTACAGTACAGCCTGCAAACACACACACAAACAAAATTAGTTTTTGATAAAATCAATATCACATCTGCAAACACACATGCTGACATTTGCAAACCAGGCTCATTGGAAATATGTGCCCAGGGCTACATTTTTGAGAACCGACAAAAGCAATCTTCTTGCAGTTTTTGATCTCACAAATCCACTAGAGGGTGCCGTTAGACATTTTTGACAATCTCTAATACATATGTCAAAATATAATAATCTATAATAATCTCTATTAATCTCTGATATATATGTTACACCAAAAACACGTTTTACTAATCCCTTTGTCCCACGGTGGCATCACACATGGTGATAGTGGTCATTCTGAATGTAACTGCAGAAGAGTTAAGCTTTTAATAGTAAAATTATCTAAACTACTTGGTCATTTTGAGTGAGATGCTAATGGTCTAATCCGATTCAATGACCAATGCTAATCTAAGCTAAAAGTGCTCTCGTCAGATCCAAAGATTGGCAGATTGATTTAAAATTGGTAAAACTCAACTGTTTAACTTTAGGAGAGTTGTGAAATAAGCCTATTTCCAAACGTGGAGTGTTCCTATAATTAATAATAGATATGTGAAAAACACACTGATACCTGCAACCCAGGCTCACCCAGGGCTACATCTTTGAGAACTGACAAATATGTACCCTGGACTACAATCTTCTAGCAGTTTTTGATTTCACAAATCCACTAGAGGGCGCCGTTGTACATTTTAGACAATCTCTAATACATATGTTACACCTAAAACACATTTTACCAATCCATTTGTCCCGCTGAGGCGTCCCACATGGTTGTAGTGGTCATTCTGAATGTAACTGCAGAAAAGTTAAGCTTTTAATAGTAAAATTATCTAAACTATTTAGTCATTTTGAGTGAGATGCTAATGATCTAATCCGATTCAATGACCTATGCTAAGCTAAGCTAAAAGTTCTCCCGCCAGACTCAAAGATTGGCTGAATGGATTCAAAATTGGTAAAACTCAACTGTTTAACTTTAGGAGAGTTGTGAAATAAGCCTATTTCCAAAAGTGGAGTGTTCCTATAATTAATAATAGATATGTGAAAAACACACTGATACCTGCAACCCAGGCTCACCCAGGGCTACATCTTTGAGAACTGACAAATATGTACCCTGGACTACAATCTTCTTGCAGTTTTTTAATTTCACAAATCCACTAGGGGGTGCCGTTGTATATTTTTGACAATCTCTAATACGTTACTGGCACACGTTTTCTGTTTCGAAACTATTCTCAAAGTGTCCTTTATCGGACTTGAACAAGGGTGGACTCCACTTTGCATCCCAAGTGTGACGTCATTCGTAGTAAGCTATCCTTTTTAAAATTTTGCCAAATGATGTTAAACAGAAGGAGTTTTTCCACAGTATTTCCTATTATTTTTTTTCTTCTGGAGAAAGTCTTATTTGTTTTATTTCAGCTAGAATAAAAGCAGTTTTTATTTTTAAAAACTATTTTAATTTCAAAATTATAAGCCCCTCTTAGCTAAATATTTTTTCTCGAACAAGAAGAAAACTGTGTCTACAGAACAAACATTATACAATAACTTGCCTAATTAACCTAACCTGCCGAGTTCACCTAATTAACCTAGTTAAGCCTTTAAATGTCCTTTTAAGCTGTATAGAAGTGTCTTGAAAAATATCTAGTCAAATATTATTTATTGTCATCATGGTAAAGATAAAATAAATCAGTTATTAGAAATGAGTTATTAAAACTATTATGTTTAGAAATGTGAATTGGGGAAAAAATATACAGGGGGGCTAATAATTCTGGCTTCAACTAAATCTCTTGTCTGTTCTCAAAAATGTAATTCTGGGCACATTTTCCCAATGATCCTGTGTTGGATATTGGAGAAAACACATCTTGCAGTGTCATACTCTAAAATGTCAGCTTGCACATTGTTACAACAGCAATTACAAGAGACTATACATTTTGCACAGCAGTATACTAAAAACCTCCATGACACAAAGACATTATAACTAATAAACATGCCATACTAGATATACAAACGCACGGACCTGATGCCTCTCTGAAGTGTCTCACACACATGTCCATGGTCGCGATGCTGCCACTCAAAGTAGTAGTGCCTGAAATCATGAATAATTAGTTATAATATAATATAATATAATATAATATAATATAATATAATATAATATAATATAATATAATATAATATAATATAATATAATATAATATACACCCATAAAAATTTATTTTCCTATACCTTTTTTTTCTTTAAAAAATACTAAACATTTTTTATGTGTTTCAATCCAAGCATTCACATTTATAGTTCACTTGCAGATTGGTCAAATTCCCCTTCCCGTTGATGGTCATCATTGACTTTCACAGTTTTTTTTTCTACTCTGAAAGTCAATGGTGCCCAGTAATTGTTCAGATCCCAACATTGTTTAATAGATTTTGTGTTCAGCAGGAGAAAGTCTTAAAGGTTTGAAACGAGCAGAGGATGATTAAATGATGGCAGAAATTTAATTCTAGACGTCCTCTAATACATGAGTTTTCAAACTTTTAGGACAGGTTTTTTTTTCCGTCCATTTGGCGTTCAGTATCTAATTCTATTAACAACACTCTTCCAACAATCCTTCATATTCGTTTGTCACAGGGGCATGAATAAAATGATGATAAGTGAAAGTGAATCTGCCGAACTGCAGTTTATGTCGAAAAATTTATAAAAAAAAAAAATTAAGATGAAACGCAACTTTCAAAAAGCACTTTACGTTATTATTTTATTGTCATACTCAGATTAAGGCAAATAACTAGACTACAGATGTCTATGTAGGCGTAGTCAGTAGTGTCTTCGAAGTAAATGAAAGATTCAAAAGGGCATCCTGCTGATTTGATTTAGAAGGGCACTTTTTTATTAGGGGCTCCCCGGTTTTTTATTCCCTGTCATTCATTTTAAAAAGCACCCGGTCCATTTTATTTGTATATATTTTACTTGAACGCATAAACTCTGCAGGTGCCTGATAGTTAGCTGGGGAGCTAATGTTAATCAGATTCACTATCGTGAATGCATTAAAATCCTCATCATAATTCACTCGAGTGCACGCCTCAAATTCTCGCGCCCACAGTTTCCTAAAGGGTGGGTCGCGGGACAATGACGAGGGGTCGCTTAGTAATTTCAAAAACTCACTTAAATTTGAATAAACTATTAAAATTACCATATTTTATTAATAACCCACAGTTAAACTAGTTAATAGTTGCTTTAAAGAAACAACAACAACAAGATAGGGGAGGTGTTCAGATTAACCACACAGCAATAGTGTCAGCTGCAGCAGATTGACTTTACAGGGCCTAGTTAGACCTTTATAGCACTTGTAATACATTAAAAATAGGATATTTGAGGTTAATATTAAGTTAAATGACTATAAAAAATTATATGGTTATTAGACTGATGCAATTTTGTGCTGTCATATGCTCATGTTTATATATGCCTGTAGTGCAACGTTTGTAATTTATAAGCACCTTCAAGAAAAATGGGGGTCGCGGGCTGAAAAGTTTGGGAACCCCTGCTCTAATAAATGCCCAATATAAATGAATGATATTGTTTAACAGGAATAGATGTATTAGTGTTTATGTGCTGTATACAGGGAAATCAGATGCAGAATGTGATGCAGACCTGCGACGTAAGCGTGAAGCCCCTGGATGTCAATCTGCTGCTGTCCGAGTGTGTGTCGACCAGGAGGAAGACCCATCGCTGTTACAGCGTCAGTGACCAACACCAACCCTGACACACACAGAAACAAAATATGTATCACACACAGATGAGTTTAAGTGATGTTTTATAAACACATTTCGGGAGGAGCATGCGCAGATGTTTCAGCAATTCTAATACATCATTGACAATCATTCTGTTATCCAATCAGCATTAGACTAAACGCCTATAAATACCAAAAGTTGTCCAACCTGCATTATCTCACGACTTAAGCATCCCTCCACCACCCTGACACTTCCCCTCTTAAGCCTGGATTATATTCGACACGTCTGCTAGTTCGCTTGAGTGTGTGTGGCGAATGTGACGTCATCGATGTGTTTGCGGAGATTGCGGAGTGCATAGTATTTTTTGAGACTCGAGCGAACAGTGCGTGCGGTGCCGCTTTTGATTTGAGTTGAATATGAACCACTTTGAAGAGATTTTGTCTGAAACAGTACAACTGAATAAATATCTTTATGATCCATGATCATAGAGATAACCAGGGGCCTCATGTATGAACGCTGCGTACGCACAAAAACTTTGCGTACGCCAGGTTTCACGCTCAGAATCGCTCACGTTTGGATTTACTAACAATGAACTGAACGTGGGAATGTGCGCAGCTTCACGGCAGCTTTCTGGCAGGCGTACGCACATTTTTTGTGCGTGTCTGTTTTGTTTCCATTGGCGACTCCTAGAGGCAGTTGTGTTAAATTCCTCTCTACAAAGTGTCTGAGCCTTGCAATGGCAGCTGTATGAGGCGGGTTCAGCAGGTATATAAGGTTTCCATACCATACAATTGACCAGCTAAACATTAAAGCACAATTTGCAGCAGTCGCCTGTTTTCCCAATGTAATCTGAGCGATCTACTGCACATACATTGCTATAAAGACACTATCTGAAGATGAATTTGCATGCGTGAATCAGAAACATTTCCATTCAATAAATGTGTAAATAAAATATGATGCTTATTGATATGAACTTATTGATGATTCCTACTTGTCTTTCTCGTGATAAATAGTTGGCAAAATCTGATATGTAGCGGGGGGAAAAACAAGAAAGATTTCATCAGACGCTGGATTCGAGCCGCGTTCATGCTCGAACGTATCAATTCATGAACACATGCGTCTAATGAGTAGCGCCACTGAGACTGTTAAGCGTCCTGCAACATTTTACAGATATAAACCACACTATTTCTTTTTTTTAATGCACTCAGTGCGATGTTCAGACCCAACTGTGTTACCCGCATCAGCTAAACTCTCCCACTCTATTTTTTTCTTTTGTTGTTAATTCCGGAGAACAAACTTGCAAATAACACCGCTTTTCTCCAGTCTACCTCCGAAAGCAGCACCTCCAATTCACATTCTGTTCAAAGTTTCTCTTTTTGCTTGCTTTTGACATTGCTTTTTCGTTGGGTTTTGGCATTAGCATAGTCATTAGCATATTCATACGGGGGAGGAGGCAGGGAGGGGTTTTGTGCTCGTGCATGTTGCGCTCAGTTTCACGTTCATTCAGATGTACAAAAGAATATGCGTGAGATTCGGCGTACGCAGTGTTTCATACATCTGAAATTTTTTCTGCGTACCCACATTTACAGCTTTGTGCGTATTCAATGTTTTAGTAAGATTTCCACGCAAGTCTTCGTACATGAGGCCCCAGATGATCAATAATTCTTGGCTAGAAATTGCAACAGCTTAGGAGAAAAAGGAGTTTATTTTTTATACTTTTGTGTCTTTATTTTTTTATTACAAAAGTGTTTAGACTAACAACAGATTAAATCAATCTTTTTCTTTTTTACGATACCATATATTGACCAGACACACTTCTTTTTTACTGCGCTGCATACTATTTACAAGGAACTTCTGACAAGAGGGAAATAGCAGAATAAGAATAAATTTAGTGCAGGGGCCTTTGTTCCAGACTGCTGTCTAGACATGTCACAAGGAGCATGATGCTTGTAGAAATTGTGAAAAATATTGAAGATGCACTTAATTATTCAGTTGTGGTATGCAGATAAGGGTTGCAGAAAGAGGAAGTATGTCTGGGGTACAAGAGCCATAGGACTGCAAAATGACTGATAAGTGACGTTACACCAAAACCCCACCTGTGAATATCAGTTGTATATATGCTGGAGTCAGGGAAATGTAAGTTAGTTGCAAACCTCTTGAATGTAATTCTTGTATTGCATTGGGGTAACGTAACCCAGAGCTCTGTCCTTGAATTATTCATATGTATCTAATAAATTACTAATATTTTTGGCATTGAAGAAACCCCTCTCCAGACCTTTTTTATTAAACTCGCACGGAATTGGCTTGATATTCCAACACAGCCATGGGAAAGGAGGAACGTTTTTGTTAAAAGGTTTGGAAAAACCTGAGGGATAAGTTTGTTAAAACCAAAAGAGGCCATGGGAAAAGTGGAGACCCAGGTACACAATTGCAGAAATATGTTTTTCCACCAGTCATAGGTTTTGCACTGATGCATATATTACAATTTTGAATTGAAAACAATTTAATAGTTACAAAACTAACAAACAAATTGTTTCTTTGATAATTGGAAAGGAGTATTTGAACATATCAGTTTACAATATACTGATGGCCTGATTTTTTAGGCTTTATTGGTGATAATGGTCAGGAATGTTGGACCATTATTACCTTTTCATCATAAGCATGGGACAGAAACTAGCCAGACAGTAATGTGTGAATTGTGGAGTGGGCTAATGTAAAAAAAATCTGTATTTTTTTAGCAAGTGTGCTTTTTTTTTTTTTTTGCTTTTATTCTTGCCATAATAAACCATATATTTGTAGAGCAACCCATTTTCTGCTGTCACTGATATTTGAATAAACTTTAATAGGTAAAACTGACCGAGATATGAACAAAAGCAAGTGATGCAGCAAAGTTTGATTACAAAAAAATCTTAAATGGACAAAAAAAATCCTTCTAATTATTAAAGAAATTATAAAAACAATAAAAAATAATTCGTTTAAAAATATTGAATGACAATAATGATATGACGTAGTTCCGGAAACTTCCTACTTCTCTGTTTATCCGTCTGATTTTACGGTCAGTTTCTTTTGACTGCCCCCTATCGTTGTAAAGAAAATCTTAACGGCGAACACAACAAGCATAAAAGCCTCGTCTGTTTCGCAAGGTGTGCGTGAAGTCAGCGGAGGTGCGCAATGCGGCGCAAGGCGAAAGTAAAATTTCAGCTTTAAACATTATCTACTGGGGGGGGGCAGGCTAGGCACTTTACCCAAACCCCAATGTCTCTTTCTTTCCTGATAAGGGGAATAACACGAGTTGGGGTCTCTTCCTGGAGCTTAGAGACCTCTTCCTGGACAGCACACCAAACGCGCTTTAATCTTAAAATATTTGTAAATGTGAACTCCTGAATTACAGTAAATCAAATCTGATTGATATATGTTAGATTAACTGTGCTTTTTTTAACATTAGTGTTCATGCAGTGTGTTTAATGGTGCTGACAGATCAAAAAGCATGACAAATAAAATTATTGTCTCCTAAAAAAAAGGATCAAACTGCCTTTAAGTGTAAGCCCGTTGCAGAAAAACTCTAAAATGTGTGTATGAATACCTGCGGGATGAGCTCTGTGTGCGATGCGCAGCGCTGCGGGGTGAGTGTGAATCCCGTCTGCGATCATACCGTAGTAAACCGTCCGACCTGGAGGAATACGATCACTTGTCAGCAATCCCACGATGCCCGGGTCTCTGTGATGAAACTGCAACCAAAACAAAATGTTAACTCCTTGCTAAATTATTAATGGTACTATGCAATATACAGTTGAAGTCTGAATTACTAGCCCCCTTGTATATTTTTCCCCCAATTCCTGTTTAACGCAGCACATTTCTAAACATAATAGTTTTAATAACTCATTTCTGAAAACTGATTTATTTTATCTTTGCCATGATGACAGTAAATAATATTTGACTAGATATTTTTCAAGACACTTCTATACAGCTTAAAGTGACATCTAAAGGCTTAACTTGGTTAATTAAGCAGGTTGGGGTAATTAGGCAAGTTATTGTATAACGATCGTTTGTGCTGTAGACTATCGAAAACAAATATTGCTAAAGGGGGCTAATAATTTTGACCTTAAATTTAAAAAAAAATTTTTTTAAACTGCTTTAATTCTATCAGAAATAAAACATAAGACTTTCTCCAGAAGAAAAAAATATTATAGGAAATACTGTGAAAAATTCCTTACTCTGTTAACCATGATTTGGGAAATTTTTTAAAAAATTCCCAGAAGGGCTAATAATTTTGACTTCAACTGTATATCAATATGCTAGCGCAGTAGAGTTGTATTAGTATTATACAAAATACAGCATGTAACCGAATACTAATCTATTTGCTGATTACTGAATGTGCATTTGACTGAGTGTGTGTGTGATACTAACAGGCAACATGGCGTTAAATAAGTGTGTAATGAACGTGGCTCCGTTCTGCACAGCCTCCTCAGCCTGAGAGAGATCAGCCATCGAGTGTCCTGGACAGAGAAAACACTTTAAAAATGCTCAACCAGCAACACTGGACCTTTTTCACAAGACGCTTTGACCCGCATCAACATCATCAGCATCTGAAATCCTTAAAAGTTTTTAATATTTCAATACATTATTATGCATTTATGTATGTTTTGTGTGATCTTTGCATTAAATTACAAAAAAACGGGTAAGCCCTTATGTGAGGTGTTTCTAATGCACCGTCTATGGGGCAGGACAGTAAATTTGACCTTGTTCTCTCTTCCGACTACCGTTATTAGTCTCACTCTATTTTCTTTCTTTTTCTGAAAGTCTTGATAACACCATCCTGGAGTTTTTCTTTTATTATTTCAGCAAATAGGATTGTAAAAAAAGGTATTTGTTGTGCTCTCCCATTCACTGCGCTCTAAGTTTACCCAACTATGACAACTTCTGCTGCTGAGAAACCCAGAAATGTAAAAAGGGTCCATAAACAGCCTGTAAAGAAGCAGAGAAAGCTATAACTGTACTCACTCACCCACTGACACTGTTATGCCCCTGCTGGACAGCTCATGGATTGCAGCTGCACTATTGGTCAGTTCGGGTGCCAGAGTCACCATTGCCACATTTTCCAGCTGGCCGTAGGTCTCCATCAGGTCTGCCACACCACCGGACTGAAAGGTTCGCAAGAACTTTGGAGGGTGAGCGCCTCGCTTCTCTTCACTGATGAACGGGCCCTCCAGATGAATACCTGACGCAAAACAAAACATGGAATAAAAGCACAATCTCTGGTAAAAGAAAACAAATTAATATTTGGAACTTTTTTCAGTTTTAGTTTTTTTCTTTTGAGAAAATTGGTAACTGGTACTATTAGTTATAATAATGTAAATATTAGTATATTAGTTAATTAGTTAAGTCTTTAAAAGTCACTTTAAGCTGTATAGAAGTGTCTTAAAAAAATCTCTAGTAAAATATTATTTAGTGTCGTCATGACAAAGATAAAATAAATCACTTATTAGAGATGAGTTATTAAAACTATTATGTTTAGAAATGTGTTGAAGAAATCTTCTCTATGTTAATAATTCAGGGGGGCTAATAATTCTGACTTCAACAGTATATATATTCATATTTATGTATAGTTGAAGTCAAAATTATTAGCCACCTTTGAATTTTTTTTTCTTTTTTAAATATTTCCCAAATGATGTTTGACAGAGCAAGGAAATTTTCACAGTATGTCTGATAATATTTATTCTTCTGGAGAAAGTCTTGTTTGTTTTATTTCGGCTAGAATAAAAGCAGTTTTTAATTTTTATCCATTTTAAGGTCAAAATTATTAGCCCCTTTAAGATTATTTTTTTTCTAGTCTACAGAACAAACCATCCTTATACAATAACTTGCCTAACTACCCTAACCTGCCTAGTTAACCTAATTAACCTAGTTCAGCCTTTAAATGTCACTTTAAGCTGTATAGAAGTGTCCTGAAAAATATCTAGTAAAATTGTATTTACTGTCATCATGGCAAAGATAAAATAAATCACTTATTGGAGATAAGTTACTAAAACTATTGTGTTTAGAAATGTGTTGAAGAAATCTTCTCTCTGTTAAACAGAAATTAGGGAAAGAAATAAACAGGGGGCTAATAATTCTGACTTTAACTGTATTTATATTTATACTCAATACTTATAATGAGTATTCCCCACCAGACAAATACCTGAAATTAAACAACCTGAATAAAAATATTATAAATAATAATTTTAGGAATTGGGAGTTTTCTTCCAGGTTGAATAAATTTGTCATTTATTTGAAAAAATAAAAAGGTTTAGCTATGTTTACGTTACTTTAGCAAAGCTTTTTACTATTTAATATGATATTTTTTAAAGTTAATTTAACAGTTTAACATTTATGTTATACCCAGGGGTTTCAACAGTTATGTAATTTACTGTATGTATATATAATGAGTATTTCTATTTCAATTTTATTTACATTTTAGCAATATTTACAGTGTTTTTTGCATTTTATTTCAGTTCGTAATGAGTACTATTAATAGGTTTTCTATTTTCTTTTAACATTTTGATTTTATTTACATTTTAACCATTTTATAGCATGGTTGTTATCGTCATTTTATTCATTCATTTATTTTCTTTTTGGCTTAGTCCCTTTTTGGGGGCTGCCACAGCGGAATGAACTGCCAACTTATCTAGCACGTTTTTACGCAGCGGAAGCCCTTCCAGCCGCAAATCATCACTAGGAAATATAGTCGTTTTAATTACAAATTATTTAATTTTTAACTATTTTAGTACAAACTAATTATAGAACTAATTATAATTTCAGTCATGTTATTACAAACTAATTAAACTAAATAATCATGAAAATGATAAAAGTTTAAGGATTTTAATATTTTAGTTATGTTATTTTAGTATAACCATCATACTACTGTAACTGTCATTAATATTTTAAAAGAGTTTTTATTATTAAATTGCACGTTTCTATTTTAATTGCAATTGAAGTTTTAGTAATTGTATTTTATGTCAACTACTTACTGATTTTATCATTTATTAATTATTATTACTATCCATTTTATTAATTCAAAAGTGTGCTTAATCGTTTTCATTTCAGCAGTTTAAGTACATACTTATTGAAGAAACATCGTCTTGTTAAATAGCTGAAATGAATAAAAGTTCAGCTTCTATTATTTTACTTATAATCAAGAAACTAGCTGTTTAATAGTTTTAGTTTTATAACGCAGATACTCTTATTACAGTTTAAATAAAATATTAAGAATGTTTATTATGTGCCTCTCACCTAAAACTCCTGCACCTTCAGGTCCTCCATCCTGAACTCTGAGCTCAGGAATAACCTGTGAATAGAAAAACATCATTAGAAGTGCTGGATGTCTACAAAAACCACCACAAAAGTGGATCAAAACTTTGAATACTTTTTTTAATTCATCCCAAGAAAAGGAGTTGATCCACAGATCTAGGAGAACTTTGTTTTTGATCCACTTCAAATGTTAACTCCTGTAAAATGTTGCTTAAGCAGCAAATCAGGACTTAAATATGATTTCTGAAGAATCATGTGACACTGAAGATTGCATTAATCATGCTGAAAATTCACATGACTTATATTATTCAAAATTTCACTGAAATCCTTGAAAATTTTCTCATGAAGAAAAATTCGTAAATGTCTTGGAAAAAAAAGGCATGTATAAGAGAGTATTACCAAAGTCCTTTTAAGGCAAGTTATTTCTCTCGATGGCCATCTTTGAAACATCTCTCGGGCAGTATTCTCGGGCATTCTGTTTCGAGCCCCTCCACCGAAGTATCGTCAGTCTATAACTATCGATGATTGGCTCCTGCACTAGAAGGCGGGCTTTATTCCCCATACAGCAATCCATGATTGGCTCCTGTACTAGTAGGCGGGGCTTTACTCACTATATTAGCCATTACACTTCACCCCCATTCAAAAAGATACGAGTGACACGTCTTGTGTATTCTAGTCTTTGGTATCACTCTTCAAATGCAAGCTGCTTTTATTATAAACTTCATTTTATACTTTTATCAAATTTAAAACAAATTTAAAATGTATATTCCAGAAAAGATGAGTAGAAAAGCAATTAAAACAATTAATATATGCTCCTCCTTTTTACATTTTTACATATTATGTTCACATACATCTATATTCTCTGTATTAAAAACATCTTTAATACCTTATGGAAATGTCAAATTCAAATATTATGTGTATAATATATTTGTTTGTAAACTGATGAAATGTACCATCCCTTCCTTTATTTATTTTTTTCCTGTCTTGTGTTTAATCTCTTGCTAAATGCTTTCATTGTATAATAAAGTATGGAACTGTACAAAAGCCTTTTAAAATCATTAAATAATTGTTTAAATGTATAAGAGAGTAGAGGTGTATTTGTGAGCGTGGCGGTGATTGCTCCAGGGACTTTACCTTATGGTATATGTGTGGTGGAGACGTGACGAGGGTGGGGCAGAAGGAAGTGACACCGTGTTCTAGAATCTTTTTGGCCACCAGAGCCACACCCCCTCTGATGTCACTGCTGGCCTGTGAGAAGTCAATGCCATATCCACCTATGAGCGAAAAGGGGGAGGGGCTTAGCATTATAAAATGTTGGTTAAATGAACATGGGTTCATTTTTCATGATTAAGGGTGCTTTTACAGCTAGACTTTTGTTTTTCGAAACCGGGCGCGTTTACCATGCTAGCATGGTTCGTTTGGCATATGTGAATCCAGCAATCGCACTCTGTTCCACGCTTAAACAATCGGTCCAAGATCACCTGAATGAGATGGTCTCGCTCGATTAGAACAAACTCGGATCAATGTTTAGGAAGCATCGATCCTCGACTACGAGTAGGCGATCCGAGTTATGATAGTATAGCAAAATCGCTATAGAGAGGATGTGATAGGCAGAGTCTCATGTACGTAAAGGTTCAGTGATAGAAGGAAGCAGTGATGTGAATAACGACAGCGTTACGACAGTAGTCTGGTTGTCGTAATTTTCTCANACGNAAGCCTAAAATGCAGAAGCTAACTGCTGTGTATGAGAAGTCTTACCAGGTTGTCCCCATTCAAAATGAAAGTGCAGCTTTTCTTATATTGTCTTAGAGCTCATCGTCATAAATTAAAATAAGGACGCATGACAGTTGAGTGAGACTCAGAAAAATAAACTGTGGAACTCTGACCAATGTGACGAGGGTTTACTCTAAGTTACTTGTTTTGGTCCGTTTAGAAACTTCATTCATTCATTCATTTTCTTGTCGGCTTAGTCCCTTTATTAATCCGGGGTCGCCACAGTGGAATGAACCGCCAACTCATCCAGCAAGTAGTTTACGAAGCGGATGCCCTTCCAGCCGCAACCCATCTCTGGGAAACATCCACACACACACTCATACACTACGGTCAATTTAGCCTACCAAATTCACCTGTACCGCATGTCTTTGGACTGTGGGGAAAACCAGAGCACCCGGAGGAAACCCACACGAAGGCAGGGAGAACATGCAAACTCCACACAGAAAGGCCAACTGAGCCTAGGTTTGAACCAGCGACCTTCTTGCTGTTTGGCAACAGCACTACCTACTGCGCCACTGCCTTGCCCACCCGTTTAGAAACTTGTCCGTGTGAAAGCGAACCGCACCAAGAACAAAGAGCAACAATGTAACCCTGTTTCGGAACAAAACAATCAATCTACAGGTGTAAAAGCACCCTAAAGGGAACGAATTAGGCCACTTTTGAAGTTTTTGATGTTCACAGAATGTGTCTGTAACACTTTAGCACAAAACACCCTAGAGGTCATTAAATAAAAATGACAAGAATCTGTGTCTTTGGATCATTTTAAGTCAATCAACGTCAGCAAATGGCGGGAGAATCTATGATTTGTCATTTTCTTTAGCATTCTTAATGTGTCGGCTGTTCTTTAAAGTATGTAAACTCTGTCTTGCTGCTCATTTTCACTCATTATCCATCTCAGAAAGTCTTTTTCTACCTAAGTAAAGGTAAAATAATTAAAATGAAATAGAATTTACAGCTTGTCGAATTTGTATGCGAGCAAAAAACACATTGTTTGTGCATGTTCCTTTAAAAAGCAAACGACCTGCTGCTTTCCAGAAGTAAGCTGAGCTTTTACAGTATTCTGAAAGAAACAGTAAAACAAGCAACACAGACAAAATATCAGAAAAAAAAACAGTAGAATAAAGCCTTGCATGTTAAAACCACATATATCCCACATGCCATCCCCCCCAAACAACTAAAAAAACTATTAAAAACAAGCTTTTTGGCCCACAAATTTGCAATAGTTACTATATATACATATACTGGTAACACTTTACAATAAGGTTTATTAGTTAATGCATTTACTAACATGGACTAATCATGAACAACACTTGAACAGCATTTATTAATCATAATTGAACATTTACTAATGTATTATTAACATCCAGGTCAGTGCTTGTTAACATTAGTTAATGCACCATGAGTTAACATGACCTAACAATGAACAACTGAATTTTCATTAACTAACGTTAACTAACATAAACAAATACTGTAGTTAATGTATTGTTCATTGTTTGCTCATGTTAGTTAATGCATTAATTAACATTAACTAATAAACCTTATTGTAAAGTGTGACCCATATACTGTATATATGCAATCCCCTCATTTTTATGTAATATAAACTAAACTGAAAAAAAATGTTTATTTTTTGTCTTTTAATTAACATTTGGTAAAACATTTTTTAATAGTAATTTAAATAATGATCATCATTTAAATGATCAAAAAAAATCTCCTTCATTTCCCTAAGTTTGCATGAACCTGTAATATCACCTGACTGCTTAAACTTTTTCCAAAGGTCTATATCGATATATATATGTACATATGTGATATTTATCTATATTATGTATATATGTAATGGCTAAATAAATGCAAGGCCCTTCAAACAGTATTCATGCACAACCATTGATAACACATCTTTAACAGCTGTTGTTTCGGTGTGTCTAAATATGAATGGAAGTGAATGAGGCAGGAAGCCTTGGCACATTAAGTTACAAAGGCAGCGATGCTCTCATGTATGTAATAGTATGGATGGGTCATAGAAATTCAGCTTTTAATCAGTGAAAAATAGCGAAAAGTCTGGGATTAAAAGTTGGAACCCATTATCTCATGCTTACACAAGTGCATGTGTATTTAGGTGAAATATTTACCATTCAGTTGCACATCTATGAATCCAGGTGCAATGATTTTATTCTCGCAGTCCACTCTGTGATCCGCAAAACCCTGTTCATCGAAAAACAGCTTCTCTGGGTTTAAAATCTTGCCCTCTCGAACCCACAGGTCTTCCCTATAGATACACACAGAAATACATTAAACATCCTTGTAGAAAATGTGCAAAAAGTCTGCTGGGTTTAACAAAAAATCACAATGCTCATACTGATATAACCAGCCTTTTATATAAAACAAATTATGAAATGTAATTATTTAGATATATATTATCATGGTATTACGATTGTATAGGTCCCTGTTTGACTCAAATGAATGTGAACGATTGTGAATCTGCCTTATAGTTTAGTTACCATTGCAGTTTGTGGTTTTTCAGGATCCTGCAGTTCACAAACTGCGTGATCGGGGCATCTGACACACTCTTATTCGACGGCATGTCTGCCCAAATCCCAGCCCTATCATTAAAAACACACTAGGAAGAGGAAACAAGTAGAAGTGGTTAATAAGGGTTTTACATTTAGAAGATCTCAAACACACACACACACACACACACACACACACACACACACACACACACACACACTCTCTCTCTCTCTCTGCTGTTGTTGGCAGATGCTCTAAGTAACGCTGCAATCTGAGAGCAGAAAATCTGAAGTGAATCAGGACTCATCAAATCCAATTATACCCAGCGAGACATTCCATTTGGCTGAGGAGGAAGTGAATTATGAGGGCTGTGTTCGTGTGTGTGTGTGTGTGTGTGTGTGTGTGTGTGTGTGTGTGTGTAAGGGCAGATTGGTTCACACCTCTTTTAATCCTCTGATGTGTCTGTAGTCGAAATAAATTCCTAAATATATTGTGAAATGAGCATAATTCACATTGACGGCTGTAACGATGGCGCTTGTGTTTGGTGTCTTACTGTTTTTGTTTTGTTTATTCATTTATTTATTTGTTTGTTTTGGGGAAGGAGGCGTACAAAGTTAAAATATGCTAATAATCTATCTCTACCAAAGTCTCTTTAAAGTCGACAACAAAAGTCAAGAGATTGTCAAGTTTTACCCATATCATGACCTACATCCTACTACATCCTAGACCCGCCCTTATTACTGATAGACCCGCCCTAATTACTGATAGCCCTGCCCTAATTATTGATAGACCAGCCCTAATTATTTATAGACCAGCCCTAATTACTGATAGCCCTGCCCTAATTATTAATAGACCAGCCCTTATTACTGATAGACCCGCCCCGCCCTAATTACTGATAGCCCTGCCCTAATTATTG